GCGTAGTGGCTAGCTTGATGATTGTGTCCTGCTTCGCTACGTTTTGGGCATATCCGTCGTGCTCGAGCTCATCGTTGAGGGTGTTGTTATCAATCAAATCGAGGGTGAGGGCCTGACGATAAGAACCATCTGGAACAATCATGATTTTTATAAGGTCGTCGATGAAGGCGCCGAGGGAAAGGTCCTGGGGCTTCTGAGTGATGGGGCAGGTGGCCTGGAGGAGGGGCCCTGTGAGGTCTTTCATCTGGAGCTTCCACCTAATAACGGGGCCGTAGAAGTTACCCATGAAGAACTCGGGCTCATTGGAATCCCCCATCCTCCCTCCTGACGCGGGTCGAAGGCAGATACTACGGTCCGCCGCGTCAACGTGAATCACCGCCTTCTCGCGGTGCATGGCCAGCATCTGCCGAAAGTGTCGAGACTCGCATCGCCAATCAGAATTCTCGATCAACTTGGATGTGAAACCGGTGCCGAAAGCGTTCCGCATGTCGTAAGACTTGATTAGATATGATAATTTACATGTGCGTAATTTCCATTCTAGTATCTTAACGATGCTCATCAAGGCCTCACGTCGTCTGTTACGTATACCCCCATAGGCCCAGTCAGGAAATACACACGCGTATCCATAATCAAGTACTCCTACTCGCAAATAAAGTCGCCACCATGGGCAGAAACAATGAATCATCCTGAGGCACGAGTTAATGTCTTTGATAGGGTCCCCCGTCGGCTGTTTGTTCTTTTTTGAAATCATAATGCCGTGGCTGGTGTAAGCTTGCCGAGGTAACCGCCGAGAGCACCGAACGTGAGCTAGTAGGGAAGCCAGCGCAGCAGGGCCCTCAGCCATGACCTCGTTACTGAAGCCTCCTAAGCGACGTTTGTCGGGTCGTGGAACACGTGCTCTCTGTGGCTCCCAACCGAGACCGAAAGGGCAATCGGCGTCGTCATGGCCGACACCTGCGCCAGGCAAGCCAGGCCGACTAAGGTGACGTGGGTTCATGATCATGATACTCACTTCGGATGGCCACGACCAGGGGGGACTGTACCGACGATGACGTTGACGAAACAAACGTGCATGCATAAATCTTAAATCATCAAGTGCCTGGGTAATGTCGTCACTCGAGGGCTCCTCACAACATACGCCAATAGGGAAGACCTGATCTGGAGGGCGAGCTAGTAGGCTTTGGACTGCCGAACAATCCTCTGTCCAGATACTGTCGAAGACCTCTGACGCAGTAAGCCCTCCCTCCACTCCAGGCCGAGAGAGAGCACCAAGGAAGGATGACGCCAGAGGGCGAGCCGAGGGGAGGGCGAGGTACGAGCGCTTGCGTACACCGGTACGCGTGCCTGCGCGTAAGCGTGCCAGTTCTGCTACTCGTGCTGTCTCGCGCCGTGCCCACGCCATACGCAACTCCTGTTCTATGCTGTGTCTCCACCACGCATTTTTGAACCTTTCGAACTTCTTAATCTTCTGGGATATGATCTTGAGCTCGCTGGATTCGGGAGAGAGACCCTGCTGTCGAAGATCAGCCCGCTCACGCAAAAGAGTAAGTCGATGTTTTCTGTCGTCCTTGACCCACTGGGGGGTCGCATGATCTTTGGAGTAAAACTTTGCTGCACTCTGCCGAATGAGATATGCGAGCACCGCGTTGTGGCGGCTAGGGTCCTGGTCGGTGAGAATCGTTTCGAGGAGGGGGCGCACCTGGCTCAGGGACGCGTGGAGGTCCTGAAGAAATTCCCGACGCCTGTGACCAACTTCGAGGCCTGCGGCCAAGAGACCCCAATCCCAAACGCAATAGCCCCGATCTTGAGGTGAAGGGGGTGCCGAGACTGTGACCTCCATGCCCATCGGTATATGATCAAGCATGTGTGGAAGGTAATGCAGTCGTCGGTGTGAGCGCCAACACAGATACATGCGACGAACCAAGGGTAAAAGAGCTTGTGGACAGAAAAAATAATCAATACGCGAGCGGGACTCTCGGTTCCCAAAGAAGCTAAAGCCGAGGTCGTAGAAGGTGTTGGGAGACGCAAACTCAGATTCACATAGGTTGCGATGAACACGTTGGCCGAGCTCAGACTCGGCGCCAGCCTGGTGTGGTCCTATACTCTGGTCGTGGGCAGGGGCACGGTGCACGCGGCCGAGGGGCTGGTTAAGGTCCGTGAAAATGATAGGGACCATGCGCGATGGTGCTGAGGATGCTTCCCGAAGGACCCACTCCCAGAGCCTGACAAAGCTGAGTTTCCAGTGGCGTACGGCAGCTGGGGTACTTTGTGCGGGATGTGGGGGGAAGTAGGCCACTATAAGTCGTAACCGAAGACTCCCCTGCATGAGGTCGGCGCATCCGCCCCGTCCTTGGAGTTCTGCTGGAGGCGTAGTGATACGAGTGATGTCCTGAGTGCGGAACCTGGAATTCCGAAACCCAATGCTGCATCCACATGATGAGTTTGTCATGTTCCCTCGATCCCACCCGAAGTGTAGAAACCAGTGTCGATGACCTTTATCGTAGTGATGATGGGCCCGTTGCTTGGCCCTGATCTTGGTCCCAGGCATCATCACGATGTGGAACGTGTTAAATTCCTCAGAAATCTCGTCTATGCGTCCCACACCTATGGCCGAGAACGGGTTCCACCCTACGATCTTGATCTGGTGACTCATGATGCGCGCGATGGTGGTGATGAACAGCACGTACACATACATGCGCGCGCACGCGGGTGGGAGGAAGGGCGTGCCTCGGGAGAAGAGGGGGAGCCTGCGGGGGCCTGGCCCCCGCTCGCGCCGCGAGCCGCGGGCACCACCGCCTCGCGGTCCGCAGTCCCCCCGCCGTGGGCCTGGGGGCGCGAGCGGGCACGCGTGGGGAGGTCGCTTATCTCTCAAAAGCTCGAGAGGAGAGCGGCCTTACGACGACGACGACGACGACGACGACGACGATGACGAGCAGCCGCTGTTGGACAGGCTGGCGCGGCAAACAATGGGCACGATGCCGAGTGGCGGTTGCTGTCCCAAGACCAGCAGCGGCCGCTGTTGCAAAAGAACAGAGAAGGGCACAAGCTTAAACTGTTGGCGCTCCGTGCGGATTTCTTGGATCCGCGCTGAACCCCCCTCCCTGGCGCGCGGAGCGCGCCAAGGGCGGCGCCGGAGTCGCCGCCGGGGATGCACGGCGCGGATCCAAGAAATGCGCGCGGAGCGTCGAAAGTTTATGTTCGTGCCATTGTTTCATGTTCGATGTTGGACAAGCGGCTTTCTGCCTCAGGTGACAGCGCTGGCGGCGACACCGACAGCGGGTCCTGCTCAGAAGGTGCAGGAACTGACGTCGGTCTTCGTACCCACTGGTTCCGTACCCACTTCGATCGTACCGATGGTCGCCGCTTCGTCGCCGCCCCATGCGGCTGCACTACACAGCTTGCACCAAAATGCTTCCACCACACTGCCTGCACATTGTGCACAAACTCACTTTGGGGGTCCACGCTGGCAAACAGTAGAATGTCACTGTTGTCATGTGCCAACGTGCCTCGAGGCACGAGTTGGAGTTTCCTCGGGTCTTTTGGGTCCTCAGCCCTCAGTCCTGGATCATTGAATATTCCAACCTAGACCCCACATTAACGAATTGCCTGGGGTGTGCGGCATGTTGCCGCCTGCCTTCCAATTCCTGACGCTCGACTTTCCCCGAGGCCACAGGGCCCAAACATGGGCCAGGAGAGCCCCGGAGCGCTCCAAGACGCCCCAAGATAGCCTCAAGACGGCCAAAGAGGCCGCCACGACACGCCAAGAGGGCCGTAAGCGAACCCCAAGAGGGGCCCGAAGAAGCCAAAAATATAGATGGACAGAGTTTAACGTTCTCGCTGTTTCTGGTTTCCAACACCTCCAGGACGGCCCAAAGGGCCCACAAGAGCACCCCAAGACAGCCTAAAGGACCCCACAGTGGGCCCCAAGACGGCCCAAGCGGGCCCCAAAACGGCCCAAGAGGCCTCCAAGGCTGCCCAAGAGAGCCCCAAGAGTACCCCAAGATAGGCCCAAGAGAGGGGACACAAACTCACACCTCGAGCCCTCCACCCCAAGGTTACCCGCGAGACCGCCAGCATGCCCCCAAGATGCTCCCAAGAGGCTCCGAGAAGCCGCCAAGGGGCCACTCTTCCTCCGCCTCGCAGCACGCGTCCCCGCCTGGACGCCTCGACGAAGCAGCGCGGGGCGGGGCAGAGAGCGCACGCGGCAGCGGGTGGCCAAGGGAACGCTGCCGCGCCTCGTTGGCAGCGGCGCTGCTCCTCGCCCCCGTAGGGAGCTGTGCCTCCAGGCCTGGGGATCACCCGGGCTGTCGGGCCTGCCCGCCCCCGCCTCTCCCTCTGGATATAACCTGACGTTGTCGGCTGCGCAGGTCCGAAGGGGGCACGCGGCACTGGTGCGCAGAGGGCCCCCAAAAGAGGCCCCCGGGAACCCCAGGAGACGCCACGAGGAAGCTCCCACGAGGCCCCAAGACGCTCACTGCTGGCCCCAGGAAGCCCCCGAGAGGCATCCAAAGAGACCCTGACATGCATCCAAGGGGGCCTCTAAACCACAATCAAGGCACTGCGGAGGGATGGGCCGAAGGACACTCGATTCATTGCTACGGTCGGGAACTTGCCATTCGCGTGTCGCGGCGTCGGCCCAGGCGGCGCGCTATGCCCTGCCAGCGGACATTTTGTCGCTCCGCTCCGCGGAGCGGGAGGCTGGGAAAGGCTCGGGACGTTGACGCCTGGGACCTGGGACGTGGCCAGCGTCCTGCGACGAAGCGTGGTGGGCCAAAGCCCGCGGCGCGACACGCTAAGCAAACGCTCCTTGCGGTACTTTCCGAACCCGCGACGTCATGATTTGTTTCACAACGTGGACCCCCAAAGGTCCCGACGCATTTGCCAGGACGGGCTTTTCATCCCGAGTCGTTTTTTCACGGTGAAGGGGCCTAGCGAGGGCCCTCAGAGGCCGAGAAGAAAAAAAACAGCAAAAAACAAAAACTAACCCATAGGTGCAGCGCCTGCGTGTTCTGCGAGTGCGGCCGCGCCCTTCGGCGTGTACCGGAAGTAATCTTTGGGTGAACCTGCCAGGCCCCCCCTCAGTTTCGGCTGGGCACGCGCGCAGCTGCGAGCTGGCGAGCAGCACAGGACACCACGAATGAGCCGTCTCCTCCTCCTCC